ATTCGATAAATTTCACCGCGAGAGATGGAGATTGTATCCGTAGAAAGTGTTAGAACACGAGCAGACATTGGGGACTGCAATATAATTATCGATTAACGCGGTTCGTAGTTCTATGTGATTTACGACGTGTCTCACGTTCCTCGAACTTTGCCCGACATCGATGCTACACAGAACGACACGTATATCGACGAAACGCATATGCGTGTTCCAACGAGAAAATCGTTAAATCGGTAGTGCAATATGCATTATCTTTATAATTCCTTCGAGACTGATGGAATAATCTTGAACGAGACTTTTGTTTCAAATTGTTTACACAATTATATTATAATTTTTTCTCAAATATTTGTATTTAGCGTTTATTTGTAAAAGATCTCGTCTCGAGTGGATTAAAAAGATGTAACGATAAAAATATGATCGATGATGAAACCATCGGAGAAGAAATTCATCCGGTATTTGGTATCTGTTAACAATGCTATGGGTAACATATCGTTTTATGAAGCGATATGACCGGAAAGATTATCACGCGCAATGCATTACGGAATTGAGTATAGTTATTGCGCAACTGTGCGTCACGTTGAAGAACGGAAAGGAGGGGGAAAAAAAAAAAGAAAAAAGAATCACGTTGTCAGATTTTCACCGAGAGAAGCGTGTAAGCAACGTGTTTTCCGCTATGTTTTCTTCGTCAGCGATATACTACATACATATATCAGGCTGTCGGCACTACTTACGACTACTTACGACTACTTACGACTACTTCGCGTACGTGCCACGATAAACGCCGGACTCTTTCGTATTCGTCGTCATGCCACTTTCCTTGCGTGTAATCGACGATCCGGCTGACCGTGAAATTATTTGGGACCGACGCTCTCGATCCTGCGTATGTAAGAATATGAATATGCCATGCACGAGAGAGATTCGAAATTAATACATTTTTACGATTTGTCAAACGAGTTTCGGGCACGTGTTAACGTTTAACGATGACATTTGAACACGCGAAAATTTAACACGCGTTGATTTTAACGCAATATCATTATTCCAGTATATTCTCTCTTATCTTTGTGTCAAACTATCGAAAAGAAAATCAAAATATAGGCCATGTTTATTTATCTGTCGCTTGTATGAAATTTCGCGCGAAAAAAACGAGCAACGGATGCAACACAACAAACGCAATTGGAGCGCGCGCTTTCTGTTCTCGTTTTAGACACTGCTCGTTTTGTAACGCGCAAAACACTCACCTTTCTACTGCGACAGGCCTGAGGATTGGAACACTCGGAAGATCGCCGACTGCGGTTGGTCTTGTAAATGTCCCACTCGTTTTTCATAACGGGCATCATAAACGCCATCTCGATAGCCGGCACTCGATGAGCGAGCACACTCGTTCCCTCTATCCCGCGGCAAGTTTCCTTCCTTTTCTCTCACCTAGCTCTACACCTAGCCTCTGTCTTTCTCGCTCCGTCTTTCTAGAAAGTTCAAATCGCACAGCTCCTGGGATTCGGCAATCGTCGACAATTTTTCCAAAATAATCCGTCGAAACACTCGGCGGTCTCGCTTCACCAAATGCAACAAGAGGATTTCTTCTCTCTAGCGGGAATTTATGGAATTAAAACGACCGAGCAAAAATATTTTTTTCGTTTTTTCGCGAACCGTATCCTTCGATTTTATCCTCGATTACGTGTATCCCCTTCAAATCGAACGGAACCGAAATTGACTGCGTACAATTTCGATCGGTTTTTCTACCGATTTGAATAGATGCCGCCGACGACAACAACGACGTGTCACTGCTATTATTGAAATTGTCAGTCGTCGCTTGTTGCCGATCGTGTTCCAATCGCTGCTGATTGCTGTGTCGACTGGAAAACTGCATACACGTCGTGTGCTTTCACGGATAGGATTAGTTTCGTCGCTTTTTTTTAACGGTAGCTCGGCGTGCTGCCTTTTCAACAACGTTCTCGATCACGCGCGTCCGGTCGATGCAGCAGTCTGCTACGGAATGAGCACGCCGATGCTCGTGTGGGTAGGTGTAAAAGATTGGCAAGGTGGGGACGAGAAAGCAAGCCTATTGGTCGATTCTGAGGCGGGACTCCTACGTCACGGGTTACCATTGATTTTCCAATGTTGATACACACGACAGTATGACGTTCTGGATTGATTTTCTGGCGGCGGTTCCTGCTGGATCGCACGTATACGTTGCTTCTCTCCATATAGTATAACACGTCAACGCGCAGGAATCTCTCCATCCCTACGGAAAAGGATCCGCAACCGACCTAACGAGCATCGACTTGCTTCCTGGCCCGTCCTCGACCCTCCTTCCCGCAAAAATCTGCTTTCTTCCGCCCTCTCAAGGTCGCCACGGCAAATTGCATCGCGCCAAAACGCGAATATATATCGAATAGTTGCACGTGCAAACCACGTTGAAACAGTCAGCTTCTCTCTCATGATATAATTAGAAATTAGCAGTTACTATTCTCGGCCTATTGTTCTGTTCGAAACTTTCAATTCGATTCGATTATATTGCGCGTTGACGTTCGGTAAACCTTGAGACGTATATAATTTCGCCCCAGTGTCGATGAAGTGATTAACCGATGTATAAGAAATCGCTAATAATTGTTTAATACTCAATAAATCGCACTGTGATGCAATATTTGAATTGGATTGCGCAGTATACGATCAGTTAAATATCATTTCTATCGTATTTACGATCAATTTTAATCAATCGATTATCGTGTTACGATAAGCGATAAGTATATTTCACGTTCGAAATGAAAAAATGAATTTTAAAGCGATAAATTACTTTTAAATTGATAGATACAGTTTTCGCTGATATTTTATCGATAGCTGGTATTGTTGTATATTTTTATGCTATAGAAATATAAGGATTATGTATATCTACAGTCGGTATATTATCATCAACTGATTTCTTTGATAGATAGAGCAAGTGTAACAGAGTTTTTAATGAAAAGAACGAAGAAAAAGTATGAAAAAGCTAACGATCAATGAGCACAAGATTTTTAAATATATTATAAAAATGAATTTATAGAATAAATATAGATAAAGAAAGCAAATAGTAAAAAATATCGAGTAAAAAATTGAAATATCAACGCCATCTTTGAATGCTTTTAAATAAATAATTCTTTAAAAAAATGTTTTTATCATTCGAGGTAATAAGCAATTCTTACTCTTTCAATATATCTTTAAAGAAATATCTTAGTTAGCCGAGAGATGGCACTACCAGTCAATTCCTATTTTATCTCTATCCTTCTTCTATTATTTTCTATCCTTGTCATATATGTTTCATTTGCGGCACTCTGGAGATGGCGCTGATTTTAATCTTTTATCCTATCTTTGTCTCTTTTCCACTAATTGCTTTCTTTGTCTATATTTCACACATAATCATACAAATAATGAGATATATGATGTATTAACAGTAAAAATTGTTGTTAAAGTTTCTCGATTGATTTTAAATTTATATTTAACTAATAATAAGAAGATAAATCTATGATATCGAATCTAACTAAATAAATCTAATCTTTTAACAATGTCAATAATTCGTAAATTGATTAATAATTAAAATTTCATTAAGTCCAGAGAGAACTATCAATAATTGAAAGCAATAAATAAAGAAATAAGAATAAAAAGAAGAAATTTTTCATAAAAAGTAAATTTATTTTGTTCATAAAGGTATAGGTCTTTTGTTTAAATAAACGCAATTCATCATCGTTTCACGCGATACGCTATTGTTAAGTGATCGAAAAAAACATTAAGCTCGCAACATATCCGAAAATTATGCTGCTGCTTACGTTACATCTATAAAATACGAAAATTACTTTTTTATCCTAACGTTTCACGTACATTCCCCTTCCTTTTTTTTTTCTTATCTTTATAAGTAGTTTCGCGTTCATGCTTCGGACAATAAAGGAACTGTAAAACCTGACTTAATCTTACTACTAAGTCTTAAAACTTTTAACATAATCGTTGATATAATAATAACTATGATAAAGACGCTGTTTCCCATTCTTGTTTCTTCTCATTTCGATTTGAAATTTGTCTAGTAAGTAACGCTTTATATGTACAATATGAATAGATACGTACAACACAGAGAATTTGCATTATCTTGTACTTGCAATGTACTTAAACATTACCATGAACCAGATTTTCAGGAAGCTCTGAGACAAGTTGCATTATTTTCTTACAAAGTAGGTACCCAAAAAAGTAAGCGAATATTACAATAAAATAGTTTCTCTTCGTACGCGTATCATAAAAGAAGCGTTTGCCAAAAATGGATGCGTTTTACACGGCACAGTGTTGTTTTCAATGAAACGTTTCATTCTACTTTTCAAGATTTAATCGAACAAACTCTCGTGAGGTTTTTCTTTTCTAGCCAGTCAACCTTTAGAAGATAACACGATATTTACTTATATATATTGCACTATCGTTTTCCGTAGGAAAGTCTTATACTATTATACAATATATTATATATATATATATA